GGGGAGTTGTTGGGAATTTTTAAAAAAAGTGATATTGATCTACTACAGCAAGGGCAAGCGGCAAACTGCTGCAGGTTTAGCAAGAGTCCACAGACCGCACGCAAACCTGTACACAAAACTGAACAGCACTTTCTTACTCTGGCAAACTCTAATCTGATTGGCTTAATGCAACTTCCGTGATTAAGGGTTATAAGCTGAAACAAACCAGTGATTTTCTAAAGTTTTCTAGGCTAGTAGCATCAAATCTTCAAAAGATATTCAGAGTTTCACTTAAGACACTTAATAAATATTTTTGAATGGCATATTACACTTCGTTGTACTGTTTTATGTCTGTGAAATAATAATTGCTAAGCCTTTATTTTAATAAATACTTTTCACCACTGTCTATTATTGTGGTATAATTTCAGATAAACCCGCTCTGAAAAGCAGTGTTGTTCGCCAATAAGAATTAAAATGAAATTGTCTTTTAAATTCCTCTTCAGTTCTTAAGATTGTATTGAGGAATCAAGCAAGACGTAGAACTGCAACTTGAATTCAATTATGAAGAACTAGAATTATAGTAAATTAAAATTTAAAGAAATGTAACTCATTTTTAACTAAAACGGCAGCTTGACAGTCGTTTGAAAATTGACGAACAACAGGTAGAATGATATAATGTTACACAGAATGACAAATGGATAGATTAAGTAAACTCCACTTTCAAATCCAACTTCCTGTGTTTTGTGGCCAATTCAGCTTAAATTCACACTCCAAATGGAGCCAACTGGCTTGGCACTTTACATGCTGATCAGATGGTCTCTTCCCGTCTAAGTGGGTGGGGTCTAATCGTGTGGACCAGACCTTTGCAAAACTAAGCAAGAGCTTGAGTTTCACAGTAAGACCTAAGTTAAGAACCATGCAGGTGGTGACAGCTCTTTTCAAGTCCTAAAACATGGACAAGTGGCTTAATGCCTTCGAGCGAACATCTGAGGAGGGCCTCTTCATCAAGATCAACCCCTCCATCATCATCCACCTCTCAGGCTGCCGCTCCAAAATGTCCAGCACACCCAAACAACAGCAGAAAGAAAGTTAAACATTTGTTCAAAGGGAGACGACTGATGTCTGCCTTGCGGTCGCACTTTACTGAGCTGAGAAAACCTGAGGAAACCACATCAAATGGAGGAACGCTGGGATATCACCACAACTCATATCCAGCGGTACGGGGGCATTTAAACTGTACTAAATGGAGAGGAAACATGAGGATGGGATGGTGTGCTGGAGATCTCATTACCGCCTCAACCCATCGCTCTAAATACTCAGCTCATTCCACAAAACAAGCCCAAATGTAAGTACCACACTGCGTACAGCACAGTTACGTTCATAAACCTTGGCGCCAACACTGCTTGAATCCACCTCTATGCATTATCAAAGAACCCCATTGACAGTTCATTTGGATTTTAATTGAGCGATGACCTCATAATGGTCTTTTCTCACTGCTGGTTACATTCAGTGAGTTTTATCTGAATAATGACCGCATTGTGGTCTTCATTTGCCTTAGTGGTTGACAGTAGATTTTAACTAATAACAAATGAGCTATTTGTTGTCTAAACTGTAAATTAAAGCCCTTAGAGGTCACATTTCATAAAGTTTATCCAAATAGCGATGAATTCCCTCATTTGCATTTGCGTATTTTCAAATATGGTGCGTGAAGATGCATCATTCCAGATTTGTCAATCCAACAAACACCATTGTTCTTATGCACTATTTTTCTAACCAAATATCAGTTGCACTTTCACATATTCAAATTTCCTCAGTTTGTCCATTTCAAATTGTGCAAATTCAAATGGCATATTCTGCATATCATAAGACTTGGAATATAGATACTTTTCTTATGTTTTTTCATCAATTTTTGAGCCTGACAGCCCTTCGCGACTATATGCTTTCATTGTTAGGAAAAAAAGCAGCATGAACATTCTGCTAAACATCTGTTTTTGTGCTGCACAAAAAACAAAAAAAAAAAAAAACATGCAAGTCTGAAACAACATGAAAAGGAGTGAATGATGACAATTAGCATTTAGGAGAGAACTATTTCGTTAAATTCAACTTTAAAAAAAGGCAAGAACACAACATACACAAATACAACTAAGACTTCAGAACATTTTGAGAATGCCCTTTGCAAACCGTAGGGAACAGAGTTTAGAAAGAGTGGTAATTCTGCCTTTTTTAGCTGCTGAGGATGGAGAACCATCCCAAAGGGTCGATGTCTCCACACGGCTGACTTTAAACTGTGCGGTCGGAAGTTCAGCCCGAGGAAATAAATAAATAAAAAGTCTGTGACCTCTGCGTCTGCTATTTTGTGTTTTTCCTTCAAAATTTAAATGAGTGGTCCAGTTGGTTGTCTGCTGCCAGCCGGCAGGGCCCCTTCAACAGCGTGAGTCTACTTTCTCTGGCCCCAACCGCATTATGTTCATCGCCAAAACAGATCGAAGACCACACTCTCCCTTCCATCCCTATCAGAGCCTTATTTTCACTCAAATATGAGATTTTTTTGTAAATGTGTGGTTAGTGAGAGGCCGGTGGAGATACACAGAGCTCCCTGTCTCAGTTGAGCTGAACTTCTGCTTTCAACAGCCAAATTTGGATGCAATGGGGCCCTGCTCTCATCCTCTTTCATATTAAGTGGCAAAATGATCTTTATGGGAATCAGCATGCAGCATTAACTCAAACACATTACACCTGGATAAAGACTCCCATCATCTCTCAGCTTTCTCTCCATCTTCTTTTAATGCTAGAATCCATCATAACTCAAGCATGCAGGCTGACTGACAATCAAATCACCACACCAATCTGGAAAACACAGAGAGTCCTTGAAACTCCAATTCTGACTCATTTTTCTGCAACCACGACTATTATTTTGAGCTCACTTGATATTCAATCTAAACCAATAGTCTTGTGAGGTCAATATACAGTAGAGGATGTTAAAGAGGCAGAAAAATAATGTCACAGCCTGTGATGGAAAAATAACCTTATAAAAAAATATTTTTAGAGCCAATTTTTGTCTATTCAGTGTTTCATCTCTCCAAATTATCTTCAACTGGGGGATATATGCAATTCATTACATGTCATTCAATTAATTTTAAATATTTTTGGTAACACTTTACAATAAGTTTCCTTAAATATCAATATGAATTAAACATCATGAATTAACGAAGAACAATACTTTTATAACATTTATTAACCTTAATGGCAATAGCTACATTTTATTTATTTCTAAATAAAAAGAAAAAAATATTTCACTTCATGCTTTCATTTTAATTTCTAAAACATTTCAACAACTTAAATGAACATTTACGTATTAAGAAAGAACATTTTATTTTTTATTTAATATTTTTATTAAATTTATTGTAAAGTGCTACCAAATTTTAAATAGATAAATTGAAGGCCTAACCCCAGTTAGAGTTGAGTTGACACAACTCTCTTTTAAATGGACCGTGAGTGTCAAATGTAAAGATACATTTCTTCAAAAACTGCATACAAGAAATTAGGAGAAATTCCAGCATGGAACTTGTATAAACTCTGTAAGGCAGAAGACAAGGTCTTTTCTCCAGGGCACCAAATCCATCTCAGTGGAGCCACATTAATTTGACAGCAAGAGGGCCTCTTTTCTGCAACTCAGACTGCAGGGATCCTTCACTGAATCCTGATTCAACTATGGCATGGAGACCTTCGACCTCCTATATTCCTCTAGTACTCATCTTTATCTAGAGTCAGGAAGTGCTCAAAACACTAAAGCAGTACAGGCACTGATAAGAAAAAGACTGAAAGAGAGAGTGAGAAAAGACAAGAGAGAGTTCAGAGAATGCTGTGGGAGAGAAGAGAGAGAGTGAAGGGTTCTTGGATTCTGCTGAAGTGATCTGTTGGAGAGACGAGTCTGCAGAAGCTCAGCGGAGGATGAGGAAAAGCCTGAAATAAAGAAGCACTCAAAAAGCCATTCAGCCTCCCAAGAGCACACAGTCTCTCGAGGCCTCTGGCCTACCTTCTGCATTAGGAAAAAATCATGCCTGTATGCATGGACCATGGACCAGGGATTTTCAAACTGGGATCAGAGGACCCCTAGGGGATCCACAGAAAAGTTAAGGAGTAAAAATGTAAAAAATAATCATAAGTAAATAAATAAATCATATCTGTTATAAAAACCATTTGAAAATTACTTGAAATAAAAGAATCATTAACTGAAATAAAATATAAAACAACTTTATTTTAGCTAGTTGCCAAGGCAACATTTCTTCTTTTTATTTAGTTTACCTTGATGTACTACAATAACTAAAATGAACTACAACATTTTTAAAAACTATAAAACACTAAACTGCTAAAAATGACAAAAGAACACATCAAAATGACTAAAACTTTAAGAACAATTAAAATGAAAAGAGAAAATATAAAAATAAAATCTCATATAAAATATTAATGAAAACTATAATATAATAGTATGCAGAATGTGAACTGTGCACATTATTACATAATGCACAATGTTTCACACATTATTTTTTTTAAATAGTATGGAACAAAGTGAGAAAAATAAGAAAAGAAAAGAAAAGAAAAGAAAAGAAAAGAAATGAAATGACATGAAATGAAATGACATGAAATGAAATTTTCAAACATTGTTGGGGGTCCAATGCATCAAAAAGTTTGAAAACCCCTGACCTAGACCACGAAAATCCTTCTAACAATGATTTTGTTGGATAATTTTTCTACTGTACTTTTAAGATTAAAATATGAGAATGGCCTCTGTTATGATTGGCTAACCCCTTTGCAAGTAAAACGAGTAACAATGTCCACGCCAAGTTATAATAGGTCTGTACTGGTAATGATGGAATATGTCTACATATTCCTTTCAAAAGAGCAAGAAAATGCTGTTAATCATAATATATCCCTTTAAAAAAAGCATCAATAGCTCTTTAAGATGGCAGTGACCGCTATATCAGGCCAAAAGGGGTGAAGGACAGGCATAAAGGTCTTACTTCATTTCCAGCACTTCCTCCAGGTGCTTTCTGCGCTCTGCCCTCAGTGTGGTCAGGTGAGCCTCCTTCTCCGCCAGGGACTGCTGGGTGGACGACAGCTTGGCCTTCATGGACTCCAACTCTTGCTTCACCTTTTCCATGGCGGCCAACAGCTCCTCCATCTGTGCATGCAAACACACACAAATAAACATGTTTGTGCTGATGAACAACAAACAAGCATTAGGACAAAACCATAATCCTAGCGAAACATGCCTGATAAGACAGAATGTAAATAAATATGTTGAGTGAACACACAGCAGGCCAAGAGCGAAGCTCACAGGGACACAAATGGATTTGTGCACAGAAAATTAGATGGACAAAATGAGTGTCCAATGCAAAAATAGTAAAGAGATTCATATAATAGAGAGAGAACGGGTGAAAACAAGACCAGTGTGTGAGTGTGTAAGAGCGTGTTACTCCAGTTATATTACTCCAGTTATTTGTCATACATCACATCCCCAGAGTTATTTCGCTCCGGTTTGTTTTTGAAAAGGTGGATGTTCTCCGTTCCTGACTGTGATTTTTCTTTCTTCCTCTCCCTCCGTTTTCACACAATGTTTATAACTCCGAGTAACAGGAGCGAGTGAATGAGGAGGATAAATCAAATAGCGTGGCAGGTTTATGTATTCCATGGAAGGCAAGGTTTAGCGACTTGGCTCAAAGCGGTTCTCACAGACTCCTCGACTGCTTGCGGTTCACCCCGGGTCTCTCTGAAATCTCTGTGCTCGCAGGAAACTGCGTAGACCTTGGGCGGAGATCTGTGCAGTCTCCTTCATCTTTTCTTGGTGTTTGTCCATCCTTCCCTGCTCTGCGTTTCATCAACTTTTGTTCCATCCATACTAGACACTTAGATACATAGATTCAAATCCAAAAATAGTTCACTAAAAATTCCTTTCGATCTTCACAAAAGATGCAAAATGAAGTGGTTCATATGGCTTGTGTGCTCGAGAACTCGAGATCCAGATTAGTCCGATTAGTCTTGAACGAATCATTTGGACCAGTTTTGTGAACAGGATTAACGCATTAATTGAAAAGATCATTCAGAAATCTGGGAAGCTAAGTCAGTGAGTTGAACTCAAAAACCAGATCAGTGTGATTCACAAATGAATCATTCAGATCAGTTTTGTTAAAAGGATCAACCAAAAGAGTGATTCATTCGCAAATCGTGCAGTAAAGTCAGTGAGTTGACCTTGAGAACTGGATCAGTCTGATTCCTGAAAGGATCATTCAAATCAATTTTGTGAAAAAGATCAAATGATTGATTGAAAAGAACTGCCTCCAAATTCATTCACGAATTAGCCATCACTACTTCTTTCATGAACACGTCAATTTGTGCAATAGCAGAGGTTTTCTGTAAATAATTACTTCAGTTCTAGTTGTATATCTTCAAAGAAGTAGGAATATAGCACACAAGTCATGCAGATTTTGGATGACAAGGGGGTGAGTAAAAGATTAAACTATTCCTTTAATGCATTCATTCTTGAGACATTTACAGAGTTTCATTGCACTGACACCCAACACTGTCCAAAGACATGATTATATGTTTTCTCATGATCTGTGAGCACTGGAAATGTTTTTCAGCAGAATAGCTGGAGGCAATAAGCAGAAACACCACAAAAACTGAGATTTAGCTGTGATAAGATAATACCCTTTGGAAAAATGAATAAATAAATAACAGAACTGTATGTATGTGAGCACATGCTCTCAGCAGTGCTGCCCTCTGGTGGTCGGAGGTATTGCAGGATGTGGGAGAGCGTTCAATCCAGCTGTCATCATAAGTCATCTGCTTAATGTACTACACCCAAGCCAAGCCTAGTGAACAAGCTACCAAAACCCGCTCAGTCAAATTTACTGCCATCTGCTTTCCTGTCCCGCTCTCATATGCTCTCATTTGTCTTCTCAAAGCATACCAAACTCACACAGGGTTGATCCGGAACAGCAACGAACAGGTCGTGACTAAAACCTGAGGATGATGGTGCCTCCCATGGGCACACGATATCCACCGGCAAATTCCACCTGACGGGGTCATGTAAGTGAGGGCTCACTGGAATGGATTATGTTAAGATGTAATGCATGTCAAATTAAAAAATAAGAAAGAGGAAATCATTATTCACGTAGAGACAGGCCAGGCTAGCATTTCTTTGACTCAAATGGAGAGCACAGGTCACATCTTAGAAGAATGAAACTGGCGAGAGTCCGAGTGGACATAAAAGACGGTAATATTTTTCACAGATACAACGAAAAAACCTGCATGCCTACTTTCCCTCTCGGGAGATAACGTGAGATAGAATCGAGACTGCATGCCTCAGGCCCCACAGTATAAGCAGAGGGAAATATTTAAACGCTGGCAGCATCGGTTTCACTGCCTGTGGCAACCCTGGGGTGAGGGCGGGGCAACAGGGCTGTCTGTTAAAACCAAGCAGCCAATGAGAGGTGAGGAGAGGGGGATGGAATGGAACCATGAGAACTTTGGTGCATTCAACAGCACACAAAAATCTCAACGAAATCTCCCACTTTTGTGTTACCACACATACACATACAGAACGACGGCAGAGCAGTTAACTAATGATTCCAGGATGCGTGAGAGCCGATATAGTATCACCGTGCCTGGAGGGGAGATATGTGAACTGACTCCATCCTCAGCGACCAAACATCATCTGGAACGAATGGATTCGAATGAATTTACAGTGTGCTCGGTCAGTTTTACTGTAAAAGTATTTAGCAAGCGCTGCCTGGAGCCAAATTCTCAAAGCCGTTGAGTTAAGTCATTCATTAGGAGATAATTAACAGATTTTAAAGGTCTGACTAATGGCCTGGCAGACCGATTGAAGGTTAAACCTCTCACACAAACTCAAAAATGTGTACAGCCTACATAAGGCATCATGGAAATTGCAGTTCCTAGTACTCTAGCATGTGGAATCGAAAATTGGTTCTTATTCAGAACCGGACCGGTTTTTAAAAATATATATATATCAGATGATTTTCATTACATCCAGTTCTATGACGTCCTTCTTCCATTAATGCTACAATTCTATGAATGAATACAGTGTTTAATAAATATATACTGCTACTGAATCTAGAGTTCAAAAAAATTAAATAAAATACAAAAATGTTAACAATAATATTGCTTGTTCTTTAATGGTAAAGGTTTTTTTTATTTATAAATATGATCCCCTTCATAAAATATAAAGACAGGAATTTATTTTGTAGTATACAGACATTTATTCTGTGTGGAAAAAAATGAAATGATCAAGACAACATGTGCTGAAGTCATAAATGATAAAAAAAAAAAAAAAAAAAATTTTTTTTTTGTTTTGTGTCTAAAGCTTTGAAGTCATCGATATGCAAAATAGACAGACATTTATTCTGTGTGGAAAAAAATGAAATGATCAAGACAACATGTGCTGAAGTCATAAATGATAAAAAAAAAAAAAAAAAAAAATTATTTATATATATTTAATATATGTAAAATATTTAAGTTAATAAATAAGTTATTAAAAAAATTCTAACCAATATTACAATTCAACAAATTCAAGTTTACTTTCATAGTGCTTTTCAAAATAAATATGAACATAATCTATTTTACTCAGACCCCCTTGCAGCTCTTAAGGGAGCTTAAAAACTCTGAATCAGTAAATGTTTTAGAACAATTAAGGTTTTTTTGTTTTATAAATAAAAAAAAATTCTAAAAGAATTATTAATGAGATTAAGGAACCAGAAAAATTTTGTGGAATCGGAACCTGAAATTCCTTTCATGTCCCATCACTAGAGTTTGCTTAAAATTCTCTGAAAGAAAAGCAGAAAGATTAAAACCAATGCAAACACTGCTTTCAGCAGACTTGCTCGTGCTGTTGCCTTCTCTGATGGAGGAATGGATGGCAGTTTGTGTGTGTGTGTGTATGAAAGAGCAAGGTGGCATGCAGCGCTTGTTTTCTCAGGGGAGTACAAACTAACCTCAGATGTTAGTCAAGTCGCAAAAAAACGCTGCAGTGAATTATGACACCTCGGGTGTGAAAAATTGAGCTCTTCACTGGGTGATGATAACACCACTTCCTGTCTCACACTGGGAACGTGAACCAGAAAGGCAGGAGGAGTACAGATCAAAGAGTTTGAGATGCACATCCTTTAACTGATCTTCACAGTCCAGCTTCAGCCTCTGCAAGTGTTTTTTCGACTTGGAGTAATTGCTCACATCAGTTGTGACGTACCGTCTATGGAATTGATAACAGTGATTTTCTCCTTTTCGGTTTAATTTAAGGCTGAACTGCTCAAAACCGGTGTCAGAAACAGCCCTTAGGGAAAGGACGAGGATTTGTCAGTGATCAAGGAGAAGAGTGATAAAAAGAACAGGAAAAGAGGGAAAAAAGAAAGACTGAAGCAGGGTCAGAGGGGCTGGAACAGATGCCTCTTCAGATGAGGGAATGCACGTGGAAATAAGCAAAGAATGAAGCAGTGCGCTGTATAGTTGCCTCTTTGCGCTACAAGAGAGCAGAACAAGAGAGAAAGAAAAACAGAAATAGGTAAAATGCAATGCACACAAAAAGTGTGTGCAAAAAAATTAACAAAAAAAAAAGAAAAGAAAGGAAAAGCAATGCCTGTTCAGAAAAACAAAAAATGGTGCTCTAAATGGCTGAAAATGTCAGTTTGTCAAATTGATGAAATGCCTGGAGAAAATAACCAATAAAATTTGCATGAAAATAATAAATGCAGCTTCTAAAAGTAAACAATACTGACAGTATATATGATGGTAACACCTTGATAATTTAATATAAACCATGGTACAGAATAATTACTCATATACCAGTTATTAGTATTTCAAGTTAATCATGCATCTTTTAAAAAAAAAAAAAAAAAAAGTATTACTATACCACGTCCAAAAACAAAGCAAAACAACAAAAACAACCTTACCTCACACCATGCACTGGTACCTCTATAGTACTTTAGCATAAATCATGGTACTGACTGATAGCCATATTTACATACCATGGTATTTGCACAGTACTTCAATGAATACCAAGGCATAAGCAATCATGTAGTTGCCCCAAAAAAGAAACTCGAAAATGATACAAGATATCATGTTCTAAAAACATGGTAATACCACAGTGCTACTTTTGTAAGTGGA